GTGTGTCACCTATTGAGGTAAGCACAATACTGAGAAATTGGAAACAGCCCGGGTGCCACGACATTGTCTAATATTTTCTGACATCGTCAAACAGGCCGTGCTTTTAGGTCAATCGCAGAGCTACCTGCGTTACTTGAGTAAGCACTTCCGTAATATCGGCTTGTCGATGGCATTGTAGTAGAGTGCTGTGGTTGTTTTGTTTTATGTCAAAAACAGTCTCTTGTTTTCTTTTGAGGCAACAATAAGATGTGCCCACATGTATACAAAAATATGAAATATTGACACAACCAAATTTGATCAAAAATTTTAAGAAAATGAAGTGAATTGATTTTTGCAGTTTACGTTCTTTTGTACCTTACAGAAGAAAAGTAGAATCAGCCAGCGTTGATTAGTGCTCACTGGACACATGGGCAATTAATATGCTCATTTTAAACGAGTCATTATTTTCGCATTATTCGCTGCTCCGAAATCAGAGTACAAACTGAGATTACTTTTGTACTAAAAATTATCTAATGAAGTATTACTATTATGATAGCACTCCTTGTTTAGTTTAGTTGTTAGTTTTCTTTCTAGTGTTACTGAATCACGTTGGCTTGTGATGCCTGACGTTCTATATCGGTCAAATAACAGGTAACAAGTAATCACGGGATAGATTAGGTAGGGTTCCCCTTCCGGGTGTATTAGTTCTCAACTCACTGCATTTACTATAGAACAGACAATGTCGTTACCGTTTCCATTTATACCCAGAGCCCTAACACGGACTTCCCAAAATATCACAACTTGTCCCTAACCAGTTTATTTATCTAAGTATATCATAGACAATGTAATCAACTTGTAAATCGATAAAGTTTTCCACTGCTTAATCCAACATCAATCGAACGTCGCTACCAACTCGACGCCCATCATAATACACGCACAAAAGAAAGATGGTATACAACGAACAGTTGCTCGGACACCACTAATTACATTATGTTATAATAGTGATATACGGGCTAAAATGAAATACATTTGGCTCAATGTTGCTCGTTATACCGGCGCAGAACCAGTCGGGTTACACAACGTCCTGGACATTACTACCGTAAGACAATACGTAGCCCGTTGTATCGATACGGCTTATGTAAACGACTAGATTTGCGCGCTGGCTGTCTTCCTTGATCGAGTCGCTCGCTTGAGCTACTTTCCCGCAGGCCAAAGCATTTCTAGTTCACTAGACTTGCCGGACATCTTGATCGGCCCTTTGACGCGAGTTACTTGTCCACGTTGCTATCCCAAGTGACCTGGTGTTGGGTTTCCGACCACCTACTTCCTATTGTAACACCCTATTAATAATAATAGACATTATTATTAATTAATCATAACAAAGATCAATTAAGATAAAAAATGGGGGGAGTAAGTTAAAATTTGGTGCCGCGACCAGGATATTAATAAATATGAAATAACATGCCGTAATACAAAAAGGTTGAAGTGGGCTAATATGCCTACAATTTGTTGCACGTGAAATGGAAAGGTGTCTTGGAGGATAGTGTTCGCTGGCCATTAGACGCTGTAGAACTAAAATTTACAGCGTCCAGCGGAGGATAGCCATACGGATCGTTCGAGGATATCGCACGATATCATTCGAGGCGGCGACACTCCTGGCTCGCTTCCCACCTTTGGACATATTGGCGAACATGGATGCATGTGTTTACAAACAGATTCGGGTCATCCGCCAAACCGTAGCGAGTCATAGAGGCTGTTAAACGGCAAGAACACTTAGCGCTCTTTTATTATATTTCCATGCACTTTTTTGTCAATTTGCATTCAAACGCGTCATACGGGCAATTTTGCCGGTCTTCGAAGGCTGGATGCAGCAAACGACGGTGGGGAAGACTCACTTACAGACTTACACAGATAATTACGGCTGCTTCGGTGATTATCTGTGTAGGATTGGACGAAAATCGACGGCGATGTGCTACCACTGCGGTGGGGTGTACCAGGATTCCGCAGACCATACGCTTGCGATATGCCCTGCATGGGAGCAGGAGAGGCGGATCCTGGAGAACCATATTGGACAGAGACTTTCCCTGACAGCAGTTATTTCTGCAATGCTGTCCGGAAAGCCAAAGTGGAGCGCTGTAGCCTCCTTTTGCGAGACTGTTATGCTCCAAAAGGAGGCTGCTGAACGTGATCGCGAAAGAAGTGATCCCAGACGCCGGAGACGACGGTAGAGAGTTGGAGCTCCCAGCCACGGCACCCAAAGATAGCTCCGTTGAGTGAACGGGTTCTTGGGGCTGCAGGCGATCAAGATCCTCATCTTCGCGCACGTACTTGGGGTAGCGAGTAATCCCCGAACCTGGGCTACTTAGTAAGTCAGAGGGGCCGCGGTTGCTTTTTAGGAGATCCCGTGCCCCCTCATCAGGACTAAAGATGAGTAACGTGGGGTTTTTGTTGGTAGGAATCCGACATAACCTGTCTACCCTCTCTTGGTAGACAGGTATCCTATGCAGGATTTCCCCACGAAAAAAAAAATTGTGTTCGCTGGGGGTGGTTGACAGTCTAGGGGTGGTGTAGAGATGCTTAATATAAAATATTGTTCTAGATATCTGGAAATAACCCGAGTGACAATTGAAGTTGAAGGGGAATTATAACTGACTAAAGTGACACTGAATAAAGTTCTTAATCGAACGATATCACAGTACAAGTGTGATAAAAGGGCAGTTGGGCGGCCATTCCCTTATGTTTATTATTATTAAAGATAAAGCGAATATATTTATAAAATGGAACAATTTTACAATAATGACGATACTATATGTCATAAATGTAAAATTTGGGTGTGGATTGTAACGCATATAATAAACATTATTATTAAAAGGTATTGCTAAGAAGATTTATTTATATACGTGAAGTGGATTAATGAAGAATGAGCGTTTACGGTGTTAAAGCTTAGTATAAAACGTAGACGTTCGTATATCAATTTGGTTACCGATCTGTTACGGTTGTGTTAGGCGTAGGTATATATGGTTGCGGAAGAAATAAGGGGTTTGTAAGGATTATAATATGGAAGATGGAAATTTTTAATTTCTGCTCACTCCCCTGAAAAGGCGCGAGAATGTACTTTGACGTATGTGAGTATGTAGTGACGTATTTATGTAGTGTAGTATGATGACGTGCTCAAACAGATGGAGATGCACCACCTCCATGGACACAAATAACACAGCCCTTTATTATATTTCCATACTTTTTGTCATTTTTGTCAAACGTGTAACCACGTACCAAACGAGCACCTAACATTAAAATAATTATTTCAGTTTAACTCATTGATTACGCAATGTATTTTTAGAAAGTTAAACCAGTAGTTAATGAATACTATGTACTTAATGCACTTTGTAGAGGTGATTAAAATGCACATTTTGATTGAAAATAATTTGAACCTTTCTGCTATCGGTTCAATTTGGACCTCGTCCGAGATATTGACACCATAACCATAACAACGCAGTTAACAGCGTAATATGCAAATGAGATCAATGAAATTCTAATATGAAATTCGTCCTCGAACTTTTTAGAGTCAGGGTCAAAGACGGCTTTAGTTTGGATTACGAAACTTGCATTATGAATAATATCAGAATTGCCTAAGAATCCGATTCAGTAAAAATTTCATAAATGGATAAATTTATTTAATATTAGAATCTTCCTAAAGGCATTGACCTCCATATTAGCATTCCTGTTCATTTTAAAATATATCTTCTCAAAAATGTAATTGTGGTGTAATTTTACATATTTTTTTTATTAACATTTTTTAACGGTGGTAGAGCCACGCAGCAGCCTCGGCTGCTGCACGAATGGGCAGGCCCGTCCGGGTAAGTACCACGACCTCACAGAAGACCGGCGTAAAGTGGAAATATAATACTTTCACGTTTCGTCTGGTGAGTGAGGTGGCCGGAGCCCAATTTTCAAAAGGTTGTCAACTCATCTGGAACCCTAGGGTGTAGCAGATGTCCATGGGCGGCGGTATTCACTTAACATCAGGTGAACCGTCTGCTCGTTTGGCAATTTTTCACATAAAAAAAAACAAAAAAAAATGTCAAATGGTCGAAATCAAAAAGCTACATATACGTACAGAAATAAATTGGAAGATACGGCGGCGACTTTCAATTGAATGTTTTTCACACAAATGTTTTACTATAAATGATAAATAAAAAATGCATTACAGGATTTTATTAATGATGTATTCAATCCTGGTTTAATTCTTGGATACATCGAGAGCTCTTACGTTTCAACAAAGCAGTATCCTTGCAATCGATTTTTGAATCGACCCTTTTTCCTATCGTGAGGTTTAGGTGTTCACAACGTGAAGGGGTGAAAGCTTAGTCTTTATACAAACATGGGGGATGTTTGCAAAAGTGCTAAACTCTCACCCCCGCAGACTATCTTATACAAACATTTCGTTATATTAAATTTTAGTCAGCCCAAAGTAATACTGTGCAAAGCGCATAAGACATTGTCGCAGAGCTTCACTATTTTCTAATAAATTCCAAAATTAATTAATTATGTGAATATAAACACCGAACGATTTCGTGTAATAAACAGCATATTTTATATTTTAACTGGAATAAATTACATCTTTCTCAGTAATGAAGCAAACAATAATAGTACATTATTATACAACAATAAATAGTATCATAACGATAAATAAAATATTCTACTTTTCCGAGTACCTTGGTGAAAGGTTCCGAGCTTATTTCACAACCCGATTGGCGTAGTGGTTAGTTAACCTGCCTCTTGCGCCAGAGGGTGTGGGTTCGATCCCCACTACTTGAAAAATATTGGATAATGAACATAGTGTTTTTCCGGTGCCTGGGTGTTAAAATATGTGAATAAATGTATATGTATTCACAAAAGAAAAGTATCTTTAAGTATGTTTATCAGTTATCTAGTACCCATACAAGCGTTGCTTAGTTTGGGACTAAGAAAAGTTGTGTAAAAATGTGTCCTATATTTATTTCTTTATTATTGCGTTCCAGGCGTCTGATGGAGCGTGGATCGTCGGCACCCTGGGCCCAGGTCCTGCAGGAGAGCATCGGTGAGGCCAGACTCAGCGGTGACGCTTTGCGCGACTACTTCAGACCCCTGGAAGAGTGGCTGCAGAGTGAGAACCTGAGGACTGGCGAGTACCTCGGCTGGAGTTATGACGGTGACTACTGCAAATTCAGGTAAGAAAGTGTGAGCACTAAAATCCTGATGTGTTTTTTTAGGATTGATATAAACATATTTTAATTGAGAAAAAGACAGTTTTGGTCGACTCGATAGATCCTAGGAATAGATAGTTTATACAGATTAATAAAATTGGAGTGTGTGTTTATAATATTAAAATAACCGCTTTTTACCAAATGCATATGGATGAATACACGGTACACATACCAAAATAACATTTTTTACAATTTTTGTCTGTCTGTCTGTTTGTTCCGGCTAATCTCTGAAACGGCTGGACCGATTTGGACGGGGCTTTCACTGGCAGAGAGCTGATGTAATAAGGAGTAACTTAGGCTACTTTTATTTTAGATTTTTTTTTACTTTAAATTCCACGCGGACGAAGTCGCAGGCACAGCTAGTCAAAAATAAAAATCTTTAGAGAAAAACATCAGAATAGTTGTTGTGCCTTAACTGCCTATGGGATCTTGCCTAGAAACTAGCCCCGATGGAAAGGGTGTGATATAATGATGTTTACTTACCGACATGCGGCCGGGATTCAAACTCGTGGCCGGTTCATAGAAATCTCCACAGCCGGGCTGAAATTATCGGACTTTGGGTCTGAAACAAAATAAAAGGAATAAAAGCAAAGTGATGATCAAATCGACTATTCGGAAGGCCGAACGAGGCTGCCCTTCAAGACGACCCAGAGGTCATTACACGCCGTTGACCTACGCATTGCTGACCCGAGTGATTACACAAGCATACATAATCGATATCTACAATATAAACTTGAAGATCTTGTGTGTTTGATTTGCCAATATCAGGCAGTCGTTGCAGACGAAACTTATTAAAAAAAATCAAATAAATGCCACTGGCTACAAAGTATTATATATTATATATTTTTATATAGTTAACTAGCATTTTGTTTCGGTAAATTTTCTTTACAATAAACGATCGTTTTGACCTTGGGGGATATAGGATCAATAATTAAGGGATATAAAATATAATATATATAAGGGATATAAAAGATAATAAAAAAATGTTACTTTAGATGGGCTAATGTAAATGACGAAACTCACGGACATAAATTAGATTGAGATATATTACATTTAGCTTTATTATCATAAATTAAATGTTAAAAAAAATTAAATGTTAAATACAAAAACGTGAGCAAATCCACGGAGCATAGCTAGTGTTTATAGCGGTTGATTCGCGCACCGAAAGGGCAGACCTTATCTCGAATTCATGGAAACCCACCGCGCATCGTATAGCAAAGCTGATATTCATAAATCGTTGAAAAATTCAATGCGATACAAAATTATATGCCGTTTACAAAAAGTAAATTTTCGGGGAAAACGAAAAGTTGTCATTGAAAGTTATACAAAAAATATCCTAACTGATGATTATTTCGTATGGCGTCTGCAACTCTAAGTAATCGATTTATATATTAATTTAGAAAGGTCTATCTACAAAATTACATGTTAATGAGTAAAGGCACACCTAGATTATTATAAATACATTTTCAAGTACAGACAGACACTGTATACGCAGGTTATAGATGATTAAACAGTATTATAAAATAATAAAAACAAAAACAAAGAAACAATATAAATAACACTTCAATACCTAAAATCAATATCAAAAGTACTCTTATAAACGTATCGTGATATAGGTATTTACTTATAAGGCTGAATGGTAGACGTCTACGAAGTAAATAATAGGATCTATTGCAAGATGTCAAGATGAGTACTTACGGTGGTAGGGCCATGCAGCAGCCTCGGATGTTGCACGAATGGGCAGGCCCGTTCGGGTAAGTACCACGACCACACAGAAGACCAGCGGAAACCAGTAAAGTGGAAGTTTGACAAATGTTTTCGCGTTTCGTCTGGTGAGTGAGGTAGCAGGAGCCTAATTTTCAAAAGGTTGTCACTGGGTAATTTTACTGGGTAATAAAAATAGTCGAAACAGAAATCAGTGCAAAGTATGGCATTGTTATTTTCAGTGTATGACATTCCACAATCATTGTTTGTTAATTATGAGAAGTGTAGGTATTATATAGGTCAAAGATTAAATTCCTTGTTTACAAGTAAGTGGTTTATTCTTTCCCTTATCTTTAAGTACATTTAAATCTCTTCAATGAATAATAGCGGACAAAGTGATAAATACAGATAAAATATAACGTTTGTCTTCCATTTGTTCTCAGCATCGAAACCGCTGGTCTGCAAGTCTACGGTGGATTTTACAATGCAGCCGTCAGAGGATATGACGTCACCAGCTTCATAACACTTTTGGTCGCTTCGATTACAACGACTGTATTGAGTGTTTTGCGTTTGCGCTAATTTTTTACGTAAGGTTAATTTTATATCAGGCAACAGGAGAAACTCTACAATGGCGACAAATTACATATGGTCACGATCCTCATTAGTGAGGGAACGACGAAGAAGAAGAATTTTATATCCAATTATTGTAATATAAAATGAATCTGTACCATAAACAATATATACAACTCTCTAATACTTTAGTATTAATTACGAATTATGAATACGAAATACAGCATTGAGCAAGATTATTGGTAATATATCATAAACATATATTTTGTAAATATTGTAACTTGTAATTATTATTTTACTTATAATTAATAAAACATGTGAATACGCTCTAGGTCTTGTATTATTTGTTAATCTTTATTCAAATTGCATACATATGCTTTTGCAGAACGTTCGTCGCAGATTTTTTAATCGAAACATTAAATACGGCAACAAACATATTTCAAAACAATGAGCCAGCGGTTACTATTTCAATTAAATTAAAAATAATCAGTCTTCAATGAGCCAATAATTGGTTTTTACCGAGCCCATATATTAACATTCTAAGACAACATCATCGGTAAAAATAGTAATGTCGCATCTTCAAAAAATATTCCCCTATTAAATATATGAAATGTTAAAATTTATTATAATAAGAACCAAAACAGATGAGACAGTCTTGTTTATATCAACATATGAACAGGGAAACGGCGCGTGCTGAACCTACCTTAAAGTCAAACTTTACGCAAAACTTTAGTGGCCTTGATAGTCAAATTATACTTTTTTTTAAAGGTTTAGTAACAGGTCACAAACTAGAACATACACATAGAAGTAATTTAGAGAACACATAACACAAAAATCTGTAACCCACACAACATTGACGATTATCGTAGAGATAAAATTATTAATATTATTCATAATTAGTATTATTCGCCTCTTTTTCTTTATTTTAAATTGTAAATTTATTATTCTGGAATAACAATTTGTGTGTTGTCAGGCTAACACGCCATGCGGGTGCAGCACAATTTGCTTAACAGTCATCCCAATATAGAATTTTAGGGGAGCAACGATACACCCCTATGGCAGTGTCAAGGCGATTATTCAAAATCGACGTTCTGATAGGCTAAGTGGTATTAAATGCATTTTTATGAGTGTGAAAGAATGCAATACGATAGAAGAATTGAACATGACTTCTAGCGCCATCTGTTATTTAATGCTGAAAGCGGTTTATACATGTCAATCAATTACTTTAATTTTGAAGAGCACAATTATTTTTAATGTCACTGGTAATAAAAATCGTTGTCCTAACGGGACACACGAAGTCTTTAAATCAATAAAGTGGTGATCATGTACTTAAAAAGTACAAACTAGTCAATCTTCCATTAAACTGACAAGTTCTCTCTTAAAATTTGTCAAAATAGAGAGAACACTCGCTATGTTCATTGAAAATTTATAATCTAGAAGCTCACGCCTTTAATCTGTAACGGACTTGATATCAATACCAAATACTATCTTCTTTTTACAAAACTTCTACAACTCAGAAGATCTCTTGGGTTTACGTCGTTGGGATTCTAACACACAAGTCGAAATTATTAGAACACGATATCCTCCTAGGTATAAATATATTATTAAAGCGATAAATTTTCATGTAAAAGTGAAATACATGTTTGACAGTATTATGTATTAACTCGTAAAAATTGCGAACTAGAAGACCAAAAGGCATCATAGTAAAATTTAATGCGTTATTTAAAAACCGTAATGTAATAATTACTTGCAAGCTTGGTAAACATTCAGACTTCAGTGTCATAACACACTAATCATGAGTTTAAATAATCGTCTAAGAGTATAAATAATTTAATTTCCCAGACAACCTTTATGAGATTGGTTTGTACCCATACAACGTTCGCCAAAGAAAATTTAGAAGCAAAAACACAACTTTTTGGATTCGATTCTATATACCGTTTATTACGGTTTTGGATTTTATTACAGTTTTGGAACCCCGTGTGTCCGTTTGATACTGATAATAGGAATTACTATATTAAAATATGGTAAGAACTGTTATATTTTAAGTAATACGTTTGTTGGTTCTGGAGCGAAATTTCCACAATGTCCTTTTTATGTTATAAATATTAAATTGGTGACTCCGTGGCGTCGTCAAGATATTGGCTTCGGCGTCGGGGGTCGTGGATTCGATTCCCACATGGGACAACTATTTGTTTGACCCACAGATAGTTGTTTCGCATCTTAGTGTTCGTCCACGTGCAATTTATGTATGTAAAAACGTCCTTGCAACACAGGATAATGTTATCCTAAAGTGAGGGCAATGTCTTTAAAAAAATAAAAAAAATCATTTATGGATAATATGAAACGCTAAAGTTGTTAGTCTTTATAAAATTTTATCGTCATCCATTAGACTAGTGAGAATTGAAAATTTTGAGGTAACTCTGCAAAATAAAGTAACTGTTAAGTACAGTTCCATTCTTAACAGAAGTAGGTACTTTACTAAATTATGTCACGGTGTTAACAAGACATGTAGACATAGAATGGTAGCCGTGGTTATCTAATAATTAATAAAATTTAAGCGCTGAATAATATCACTGTAACTTCTGGTTTAGAGACCTACAAACCAAAAGTTAACTAAATAGAAATCAGAACAACTCGCAAGCATCAGAAACGTCGATACCTACCACTGCCATCTATTGTCCTCAAACTGGAGCTTTCCTTATCATAATTTCATATCCTCATTATTGGAAATAGGTTGAATGTACACTCAAAGCTATCAACTGACTGTACTGTTTAATCCTAGAGCAGTTAGGAATTAAATATTCTAGGAATCAATTCGTTCTTTTGAAATGTCCAAGTGCGGCTGTTAAATTATTAAACAATAAGTTAAAATTGTATTTAATTGCTTTATTCAAATTCTAATATCTTTGTTCAATTTATAGAAGCATCCCACTTACTTATTGATTATCAAAATACTACTATTGGTTCGGATAAGAAAAGCCACTGACCTGAGAAGAACCGGTGAAAGAAACTCAGCGGGGCATTTCGCTTTGTACGATTATTTGACAAAGAAACATGTTTTGAAAGGACTTTAATCCACTTGAAATTAGCCTGGTGCGATACGTTTCCAGAGCGTGTTATCATTTAAATAATCAATCATATTTTTATAGCCTTTAACACTCAAACGTCCATTTAGATTTTTTTTAACTTAGCAATTGAAAATTTAAATTTAAGGAATGCGGAGTTCAATTGCAATCTTAGGTCGTGGTTTTGATCGACTCATCAGCGATTGAAATACGAATCTCTGATTCTTTGCCATTTGAAAAAAGACCAGCCTTAATAATCGAAATCTGTCTTTTACTACCTCGCTGGTGATATTTCGGGCTCGTTTTCTTTGTGGAAGATGCTAGTAAACGAGTGAGCAGGCGGTTCACGTGATGTTACTTACCTGTGGACATCTGCGTATGTAAGTTTTCAGTTAGATGCCAGCCTTTTGGAGAGTGTTTACCACACTCACCAGACTACCACAAAAGTACAAAAAGTGTTATGCAATGGCTTCTTAGAAACCGTGTTTTTCTTTTCTTTCTTCCCCAGAAACCTGCCAATCGTGCAACAGCGGAAATCACCGCGTTTATAACAGTTTTTATCATTCTAAGTGCAGAGATTAGCACTATAAAAAATTTAAAGTCATTATGATAATAATATTATAAATGGTAACCCCGATACTGCAAAAGCTTATCTGATTTGAAATAACTTTATAGATGTTTAAAACATCAAACACCATAATACCGTTAATTACTTTATTTATTTTTATTTCTTGGTTTTAGTTCTATAACGGTTTATTGCCTTAAAAGAAAAGCACATTCATACGTATTTTGAACGTAGACGAACACGTCGCAGTGGTAAAATTGGTGTAGTAATTTCAATTTCGTAGTTTTAACGGTCGAATGAACGCTAACAAATAAACACATCCCCAGAGAGTCGGTCCCTTACTGATTATGTCACCGGGATAAACTAAACAGGAGACATCAAAGGGGCCGCCGACACCCGCCTAGTTGGCGCCAACTTCGTGAGAAACGTTTTAACAATGTTTTATAGCTGTTTGGACGTTTGTAATGTTCATAATCATCCCTATGCAGGAAATGCGAGGGGTGGTTCAATTAAACATGATGAAGGTAATAAAGTGCGAAGTACATATAAAACACATTTAAATATGTGATTTGTATTTAATGTTACATAAATAAATATAATTTTATTTGTATTTTTGCTACTTAAATATAATCGAGTACTCTAATATTTACACTTCTATTGATCATGATAGCATTTTGGGCTATTGCAATTTCGTTAACGTTGTCAAATAGACCGTCTGCATTTTCCATCGATAAGTAAGTGACCTCTAGTTTAACGCAGCTTGCAACTCCACCAAATTCGTAATCAGCCTTCAGCTCCTCAACCTATAAGATTGTAATTAACATTACTTTAATATTAATAAAATGCTGTACTTTACATGGCATCAAAATAACATACTATCGTAAATCCCTTATCTTTTCAAAATCTATGCACATAAATGAAATTTACATCGGCAAAACCATTTGTCTGGATGCAATATGCATAACAAAAATGAATAGAATGACTTTATGAATGTTTGCATATTAACATAACATAAATTATATCACATTATATTATTTATAACTATAAATATTGTAATGTTATTTGAGTGGCATGAGAAATTTGCAAAATCTTTTAATAATAATTTAATAAACTCACGCCCGGTTTCTGCAACACCAGAAACATCATCGTAGGAGTTAACTAATCAGCTGTCAAACGGCTTTAGAAATGTTATTTGAGTTGCCAAAATTATTGTTAAACTCTTTGAATTGATCATTCTGATCATTAAGAATATCATTATGTCCAATTCAGTGATTGAATTGATCATTCTGATCATTAAGAAGACCATTATGATCAATTCCGTGATCAATTTAAATCATTCCTTGCACAGGTCATGCATATGTGCGGGAAGTCGTTGG